ATTCATGCTTATTTTATCTCTTTTTAATATTTATACAGCTCCTCGATATTTAGTGATTACAAAAAAAAACAATTTTTGGCTCCTTCCGTGCTTAGAATTTTCTGGAGGATGAAATCTGCAAATTTATTTCCCAGTGTTTTTGTAATTTCAGTAGTTTTTGCTTACCCTTTTTTAATTTTCCTGTATTTCTGATAGAATAGGCATTCTTTAAAATTTATCTCGATTTCTGATGGGATAAACAATATCTGGATTTGCTTATAAACTCTTGTTTCAATCAGAGCCAAAGCCAAAACTCTCTTCGCATTCATTTTCTGTAAAAGGTGGTGGCACTTGGAGTTAATCCGGATAGTAATATTAGCAAGTACCAATAGTGCATCCTTCTGCTGGCAGAGTTGTCAGTGGCTCCATTCTCGGCGGTTGCTTATGTGAAAGCTGACAGGGGCAGGGGAAGGAGGAGGGGGGTTGTTTCCTTGACGCACATCGGTATTAAGTTTTTCATCAAAACGAATGAACGAATTAGAAATGGATTATTGGAATTCACCATGATCCTGAGCACGAGAATAGCGTTACTTATTCGTTATGTCATGCTCGTCAATTCCTGATCCGGATTTTTTAAAGAATGTGCTGATTTTCTTTTACAGATTTGAAGAAGAGGAAGCTACGCCACGAAAGTTATCAAATTTGGCAGGACGTGATTTTATACCAGCATCTGAACTGAAGCCGCAGCCGATTCAGGAAAATTATTACGAAACGGGTAGTGAAAGCAGCGACGAGGAGCTACAGCCCGATAGGGTAAAGCTTATCTTCGAAAACCGTACTTAAATACTCTTAGCTGACCTAAGCTGATGGAGTTTCGACTAATTGATGAAGTCTTCAAGCTACTCTTCCCAAAAACCAATCACAGAAATTGCGTAACTAACCAGTTTTGTAATGTTTTCTTTCAATAAGAAGTGATAAAATTGTAATGTTTTAAGAGATTGGCTGAAATCGCACAATAAGTAAGTTTTAATTGATATTAAAGATAATATTTAATCAAAAATAATCAACTGAACAGCAATTTTTGGTTCATTAAAACTATCCTTTCTATCATTTTTGCCATCTCAGTTCCCTTCTTCTTGTCCTGCATTTTCTCCCTTCTCCGTCTCCCTGGAAGCCTTCCTGGCTGTTTCTTGGTACTTGAGACACGATGGTGAAAAGACAGTGAATCGCCGTGAAAGTAATCGATGCGGTAATTACGACAGCAACAATCTCGGTATAATTTTTCATCCTTAATGCAGGTGTTGAGGACGAATGAAGAACCAGCGGAGCATGTAACAAATGAAGATGAAGGTCCAGGAACAACTATCGACAGTGTATTGGAATCGAGAGCGGAATTGCTGAATGATACGCAGACGCCATCTGTTGCGAAAAATCGGGATTCAGCAACGGAAAATAACTCGTCTGATCAAAAACTTCCTTCGCAAGGTATGTTTTCCAGTCAAATTGACGTTCTTTTACTTGTTTGGTGTGTTCAAGCATTCCAGAAATAGATGTAACTCGGATAAAAGGGAACTTTTTTCACTAGGCGCAAAAGAAATGCGACGAGGGCGGGGGGGGAGGGGGGAATTAGAAGTCTGGTTTATCGTTAATAAAAGGTGATATGTATCGAAACTGATGGCTTTAGGCAGAGCGTCGAACACATGTCATCACACAAGCAGCCTTATATGGGTTTAGCCTACTTTGACTACTTCGAATTTGTGCCAACCAGTAACCTTTTCAATGCACATTCTTCAGCTGGAGATTGTGGCGCATATCCACTTTTTGTCCGAGATAGACGTAACTGTCAACTTCTTCCAAGTACTGGTGAATAATATTATGGCCCGCGTGGAGGTATTAAAGGGT